GTCTAAGCTGAGTATCTTTCAACAGCTCCAAGTACTACTTTAAGTAGAAAGATGGTGCAAAATTCCCATATGCACTGGGAGCCTGTTAAACAGTTGGCATAAAAAAAGAAAAATCAATGTACGCTTGAGAGAGCAGGAATCAGATATGCAGCAATTAAATGCACAGTGCAGGAGGACTATAAAACACCAGCTTGCTTTAGCAAATATGATTGCTTGCCACCAAGTACCTCAGAAAAAAAGAAATAAAAATCTTATCACATATCTCAAACTCAGCAAGGCTTGTCTGGAACAATGCTTGGAGGGGCTGCAGCACATGCATCATTCCGTAAGAAGCAATATTTCTGACTCAAGCCCTCCTCTTCAGTCAGCACCAACGCACGCACTAGTACACCGCTGGAGACAGTGGAAGAGACTGGGCACAGGTACGCAGATCAACCAAGGCAACAGAGACAGATTTACAAAGGGCAACCAGGACTATTTTCTCAGCCATGTTGCCAGAGGTCAGAAGCATATTAGTGCCAACTGTTAACATTCAGTGGCCCAAACACTTCAATTCCTTCCAACTTCAGTGTTCAGGCCCCCTCAAAAGCCTTAAGTACAATACACATCTCCTCTCCCACCTCTCCCTGTGCTGCCACACACTTAACGCGGGGCAGTCTAGTTTTAGTTTAAAAAAAAAAAACCCAAACGCAAGCTGTTCTGAAGAATCTAGGTGTTTCCTGTGAATCATTTAAAACAAAAAACAGAGGTACTGACAGATTTCAACCTACCCTGCTACAGGTCGATCTTCAGGTGACATACCTCTCAAACAGGAGATTTCCTGTAGCGAGTTTTTCAGATGAGTATTTCATATTGACACGTTCATCTCAGGCTCTCGCTGCCACACTACCACCCAAAGCCCCTGCCCAAAATGTGTTTCAATAGCTCTGATGCCCATTACAAATAGCTGTCTTTTCTTGGGACTCTTACAACAGATTTGCTGCACTAGAGATGACTGTTCTACCATGAACTGCAGAGCCCTTCCTGTTGGAAAGGCAAAGAAAAGAGGATTTCAGCAAGTGAGATGATAGACCAGCTATACCGCCAATTTCCTTGAACAGCCACAGTAAGGACATTGGCAACACCCATTACCCGAGGCATGCCTTCCATTTTCACCTGAAGGACCCATCCTTGTAAAAGAGAAGTCAGTCTGTCTGTCTATCTATCCCACATGAACCCAGCTTGCCTCACTGCAACTCCCGTTTAAGGAATATATGGTCAGAGCCTGGTCCTCTGCTACAGAAGGGAAACAGCACCTACAGGTAGTGCTAGGTTCCAACCTGCCACTCCAAGGTTAGGCGAGATACCTTGATCACCAGCTAGTTTGACCAAAGCACTAGCCGAGATGCTAAGCTCTACCCATAAACACAACTGGCTGTTAGGTAGCAGCGCAGAAGTGGAATTGGCCAGGGAACACAAGCCTATGGGGGAGCAATCTTATTCCCAGTCTCAGACATAGCAAGTTATCTGTCACATCAAAAATCAAAGAGCCATTTTGTGATGTGTTTGTTGATGACTATGCTATGTTAACTAAAAACTAGCTTCACAAATAAGGATAAATACACATGAAAAATAAATCTTATGAAATATCTGTTCCACAAAATGTCGGGGAGAAGTGAAGAGGTGGGAAGATGTGATCATCACAGCTTTAATAAAACAATATACTGTCTCCAGGATACGGTGGCTGCTGGAAAATCCATCTTTCTTCCACTCTACCAGAGATCAAACCAGAGAGCCACAAGGGTTAAGCTTGTCTTCAAGTTACCTTAAAATAAAAACCAAAAAACCCACCAAAAACCCAACCTGCTCTCATCTAGAATACAAACCTTCAGTTCATACATAAAGAAACAGGCAGAGGAAGTTCCCTCTGGCCTCCTATCAGTGGAGCAGAAAGAAAATATCTGGGGAGACAAACAGATCAATTTTGAATATTCTGTACTGTTTCCTTAATTTTTAATACCAACAATGTTGTATGCCCCTGGAGTTTCATCCTACAGAACACCACTTGAAAAGGAAATACTAACCTGGACCAAAAAAAGCCTAAGTCAAAATCTACACAAAGGAGAAACCCCAATATGTGTGAAGGGATGCAGATGAATACTGGCTGACCCCAGAGCAGACACCACTGTTACAAGCACTTGGATTTTAGGTTTTCCAGGTCACAAATGGTTCAAGCAGACAAGGGGGAAATAGACAAAGCACAGGTTAGAGAGCATTCAAGGCCAACAGCTTTGCACAGGAGCTGTTCAGGAATGCTTCTGCCATCCTCCTTCTGTTCTCACTTCACAGGATAAAAATAATGCAGGAGTGGAATCCTGTGTTCTGTACTGCCACTTGTCTGCAGTCTCTCTGACACACACACACACCCCCCCATTTCAGAATAATTGTTTCAAATCACAGAAAATGAGCAGGATGTAGAAATGTGGTAGAATATTAATAACTAAGTACAGGGCACTCATTCACAGGAAATGCCCTGCACACACCAATCGAGAGTAAAGAAAAGATAAAACTAACAACGCATACGCCTTCCAGTTTTTATTTTCAGGTCATAAAAACAATCACCACCCTGAAAATGAGCATTTCCTGGGATTTAACAACTGTTGAGTTAATAGTGCTAGGCAAAGGCAGTTATGCCTAGCCCATAATTTTACCCACATAAAATGTGTCACACTGCATCTGTTAGTGATGTCTCTTTGAATATTGTCAAGGAAAAAAAAAAAAACCAAAACTACTGCTGTTTGGAAGTGCTGATAAACCCCTTCCCACAGCTAATGCTTCCACACAGGTTTGCATCAGGGAGCCACACTGGATGACCTCTGTAATGCACACTCCCCACCTGTGTACAGTCACTAGCAAAACATACTTTAAATAAGATAGGCACCTTCTGATGAAGCCTTTCTCTTTCCACCCCAATACCTTTTTCACATTTTTTTAAGCTCAGCTTATCTAGATATTATGTCTGCATAGCCAAAAATTGTGCAGCTTGCAAAGAGATCATATTTTTACATCATCACTGTAGGCCTTTTCCAATTTTGCATTAGGAAAAAACACTCTCCATCAAAACGAAACTCTATGAGAACATTGTGCTGATATGCAGATGCTAGCTGTGCAGACACACCCAGTCAATCTCTTTAACTTATCTAAATGCCTCCTATTCCTCTATTCTACACAGAAGAGGGTCTCAAAACACCCTGCAGAGAGAACAGTTCCTAGTGAAAGACAGCAAACTCCCTTACAAGTTCACCAGAAGGCCAGCTCAGCCAGACTCAGGACAGATTACCCACGTAGGATTGTCACCATGTACCCTCAGAGAATCCGCTATCACTAACCTAATGGCTATACTAGGGAGACCTGCTTTTAGAAGCAAAGGATGAGCGTCTCAGCCTCATACTGCCAAGGGAAAGCTTAAGAAGCTAACTGAGTACACTTCTCCCATTCCCTTTCTGATCTGCAAGACTTTTTTTTAACAGCTTTGTCTGATGCAATCATTTCACATCAGACCTAACCAGTATCTTCACCACCATCCCCTACCCCTTCCCCACAGTCACAAATAAGATCTAGTGAAGAGACACAGTTTTAACAGACAAATTTTTTTGTGTTATATTACAAGCAAAGTCATATTTCACTATATACCTAGCTTCAAGCTCCTCTCTCTCTACTGCTGTGCTGTTTGTCTTTAGACTGGAAACAAACCATTGGCATAAACCAAAAAATATATAGGTTGCATACACATTCATCCTAGAAAACGTAGAGCTCTTTGGACTAGTGATCAGAAATTAGACTCTTTTAAGAGTACTTAAAAGCATTTGAGAAACAATACTTGTTTGCTCTGGCCAAGGAACAAGAACAGACAGAAAGAAAAACACAGCTTCTAAATTTCAGCTACATGCTGACTTGCATTCTTTCAGTTACATGTCCCAACATGTGAAAGATGCCACTATATTCAAGTCTAATATGTCTTGCATCCACAAAAAGTTTTTTTATTTAATGATAAAAAAATAAACACACATCCACCAAGATATCTTTTTAACTGAGGAGCACCCAAAAAATCTCAAAAGATTTAAAGGAGCACTCCTTATGAGATCCCCCTCAGAACTCAAGCCTTTGCACTAGCAGTTGCAGGAAACAAGAACAGGCCAGCACAGCAAGAAGAATGGTAGCAAAGGAGCTTAATGCCTTATCACTGCTAGAGGGATCCGAGGGGAAGAGGGCGTAGTCAAAGGAATTATCCCTATTCCGATTAGCATCTGACCAAAGGCTCACATTAGTTTGTCAGCACTAGGACTCCCTTAGAGCACTGGATAATAACCTTGTTGAAAGCATTAGAGGGATTTCCTCTCTCCCCCCCCCAATCTACATCCCCTCTCTGAAGGGGTATAAAAGGATGAGGTCCAAAAAACAGCTTTATGTTTAGTTCTCTGGAAGACATATCCAGGTAGTTTCTTACTACTAAAACATAAAATACACAAGTGAGATCCTTTAGGTTTTCAAAGGTAATATTTGGGAGAAGGTATGGAAAAAAAAAAAATCAAAAGAAACCTAATTTTCTATTCAAGAGAAAAGGTCAGACAGTATAGGTGGCTTATAATGCATGCGTAACTCTGGAAGGCAGCCCAACAGCTTCTACAGCAAAACCACGGAGTGGTAAGGAAGTGAGAATACAAGAAAAAAAACCCAGCTTGTGGTATCTGAACACCACAAAAAACAGGTTAACAGAGGTGTCAAGAAAAAGACTAAGGCATGGCTACAAAGGAGTGAGACCCAAGAACATTTTAGAATGCTAGCTTTAAAACAGGAAGTAATGCCAACAAGTAAGTGGCTGTCTCACTGCAGGAAGAGAACATGGAAGGCAGCACATTTTGACTTTAGTCTACAGAAGAGTCATGGCATGTGGGCAAACTCCAGATTTAAAAAGCGAAGAGTCAGAAGAAATAAAGTAATGGCATTAGCTTTCATCTTACCTGGTGTTGACACAAGCTGGCATACAATGGTTGTCAAGTTAGTATGATTAAAGTGATGATGCAGTGACGATAGGTTGATTCACACACCTAGGAATGCACAAAAAACTAAGTATTAGCTGTGAGTACACGGGGAATAAGAATGGCACTCTGTCACATAAAAGAGCCAGAAGGCTGAGGCGTAAAAGCAGCTCTATTATGTTTTTAGAACGCAGGCACACAGTTACACTTCAGGTACAGACATTACTTGCAAAATTCAGATCTGGGTTAGAGATCTACTGCACAAGTCACTCAAAAATAAATAATATTCAAAACTACCCTCACACATTCCGAGTATAAGAACAGATCACAGTTTCCAGCATAGCAGAGTGTTACTGAAAACATTTTTCAGCAGCACTCAAGCTCTGGTTTTAGGGGTTTTTTGGGTTTTGGGTTTTTTTTTTTTTTCTTCAATGGGACAGAAGCTTCTGAGAAGTTACCTGAAATACACAGATTAGAACTGCAAGTCCAGCCATCAGAAACACATATGCATTTCTACAAATAAAAATCCATCGATAACAAATACTGCAAGCTTCCCAAACAAGCACAGGAAAAAGTATATTTATTCCTATGGTGCAAAAAATCACAGGTATGTTTTATTGTCTCTTATCCTCCCCACGCCCTTTTTATTCAGCATTAGTACTAAAAATTCCAAGACTTAAAAAGATGTCTATTAATAAGGTAACCTTCTCCACTTCAACAAGCACAGCAACCAATTGACAACCGGGCAAACCGGTCATCCAAAAGTGAAAGCAAAAGCTGTGCAGCTGAAAGGAATTTTTGTCTAGTCTGCTTAAAGATCTCTTTTGTTGTTAAACATTTCATTGTCACATTTAAGTGTCAGCTTTTTGAGTCTCAGAAGTGTGCAAGCCCTGCAAGACAGCAAACCAGAAACAGACTTGAGATGGCAGTTCTCACAGCTAATGAAATTAAAAGTAAACGCAGCAAACTCCTCTTCATCTCTGTCACTCAACTTAACTAATCATGCGCTTACCAAGTCACAACCCCGATCATACAACCCACCCTGTTCTCTATACCCATGAAGTGTTTTTTAACGGATCTCTGTTAGTAGGCTTGTATGGTTTTATAGTCTCTGCTCACAAAGCCAGGGCAAAGCCTGCAACGAGTCTCCAGAATATTTTTGCTGCACATCACAGAACTAGTTTGCAGCATTTCAAGATCACACAGCTCTGCAATAATGCTTTAGTTTTATAAAGACGTACTACTAGATTTTCCTAAGGGGAAACCAGGAGCCTGCCTCCTGAAACAAGTAGCATACCCTTTTTGGACTTTCAAAAGGAGTGAGGAGCCCTGGGAGAGGAGCTGGGTTTAAAGCTTTCAGAATGATCCCACACATGGCCGCTGGGTCGCCAGTGGCATATGTGGCGGCAGATGGAAAAGTGAAGATTTCATACCCTCTGAGCAATGCTCTGCAATTCTGACACTTCTCTTGAAAAGCAGAAATGTCAATCACCCTTCCAGGTCGGTGTTTTGGCACAGAAGGATTCTCCTCAGGCCGCGTACCAACACCAAAGGATAGATATAGATATATATATAGATATAGATATAGATAGATATATATATATATATATACACACCTATACAGGCTATTTTGGGGGCAGCTTCTGTCTTAGTTTAAGTGTCATGAAACCCCACACAGCAGAGAATGATAAATTACTGTTAAGTCTTCTTCACCGCACATCAGCTTTCTTTAGCCTTTTGGCTCATTATAGAGCAACCCAGTATGAGTCTTTTCCCCCCACCCTGGCCCTCATTTAAAGGGGGTTTAATTACCATTAGAGCACCTTACTAGGTCTAACAAATAAAATGCCTTATGAGAGCAACTGACACAAATGGGCACCAATACCCGAAGGAGATTCTGGCACATCCCACAATATAATTGCATTACTGTGAGCTGCTTCAATATCTACTCCTTGAAGACTTTCCAGAAGTTATTTACCAAGAAAAAAATACCCAAACATCTTAAATAGGTCAGAGACATTCAAGCATTTCACTAAACTATATTTAAAACTATACATACCAACTATAGCTCCTTTCAAAGCAAGCTGCCTTTAACAGCTATACTGTTGAAAATCAAGTTGCAAATTTAGCTATTGAAAGATCTGTATTTTTATACAGCATAAGAACATCACTCTCAAGCCTTCTGACAGAAATTGGGAGTTTGGGAGGGTGTTGTTGGGTTTGAGGGGTTTTTGTTTGGTTTAACAATACTGATGTAGCAACAGGATTTCCTTCTTAAAACTTCTGCTCCCTTAAGAGTCCTGCAGAAAGAGATCCAGTAGTGCAAACACAGCTGATCTATCTTCATTCCCAAACAAGATGCAAACTTGGTTTTGATCAGATATTCTTTCAATTCCCACCCCTTTTACTACAAAACCCCATTAAACCAACGCAGGGAAAAAACCAGGAACAGCGGCAAACCACAGCAACATTTAATTACAAACCAGGCAGAAAATGAGTTGAGGGAAAATGCAAAGAGCTTTAAAGTTTTCAAAAAGCTTCTGGAACTTTAAAAGTGTAAGCTAAGGGACAGAGACACAGAGCACAAACTGGTCCACTTCTGAGGCATGACATTAAAATGGTGCACATTTCAGCCTAGCAAGGAAGTCGCTCCTATGGCAAGTGAGTTTACACTAGTGGACTGAAAGCCATTCTAGTCTGCATAAATATGATGCAGTGTTTCATTCTCCACATAAAAGTGCTTCCAGAAGCCCTTTTCCCTTTATCCTCCTCTATCAGCTCCAAAAGCTGTACTTCACCTTGCCTGCAATGTTACTGCTGCAGAGGTGATGACTAACCCATTCCACTTAACACTCACTAATATCAGGAAGCAAATTTACTGCTGCGTGGGCTGGTTGCCAGGATAGCAGTTCCCCTCGGGGAATCACCAGATCGACATGAGACACATCAATCCTTTGTGCTGTGGAAAAGTTTCTCAGTTCACACGTAGCTTTGGGAGCCTGCCTGTCGTTCAACACACAGGTAGAGAAAGCCAGGAGCTGGGGAGAGGGGACAACTGAAGCAGTGGGAAAGAGGTAGGCGGTTTATAACCTCTAACTTCTGGTCCTGCAGCTCTTTTGACAGCATGAACTTCCTCAATAAACGGTCTTGAAATCAGACAAAAATATCACATTTAAAATTAATAAATACGCAAGTAAACAACAGTCCAGTTTCCACGGGTCTCTTCTCAGCATCCCTAGGCTCAGTCTGAAAATACCCTGTTTGCAGACTACATCACAAAATAAACCATGCCAGAATACTAAGCTTCCTGTGAGAGCACACTAGCTGCCACTACTCAGTAACAAAACGAACAGCACACAAGTGGCAGCTGAAAATATTTCTTGCTACACACAAAAGCTCCCTTCCTGAAATTTATAGGAAGCATTTCCACTGGATAAACTTAAAATCAATTTTTGCAGCTGCTCAAAGGAGCCTGCTAGCAGAGTCAAGGAAAATACTGTCTGCATAACTGCAGAACAGCAAAGCCAGAAGGACTTGCAAAGACAGAGGGCTTCACAGAAGTCAACTACTTGTCCCTAACTACTACTCTGTGTGCTGGGGGTTAAATTGTTACATCTGAATAATTCCTTTTGCACCCAGAATAGCTTCATAACAGAGATGAAAGGTATATAATGGCATTTCTAAAGACATGACACTTGTCATGACAAGATAAACATAATTAGACTACTGTATTTCTGGCAAAAGGAATCTACTATAACCAATACCACATTACAAGCAAGAATCTTTGCTACATATGGGTTAAGTTTTCTCTTTTCCTGTTCTAGGAAACGCCTTAGTGTTTCCATTTACATACTCCTAAAGCAGAATTCAATCCCTGCTGTCTCTCACCCCTCTCCTCCATCTTGCAGGCAAGCAGGCCCAGCCTTGCCAGTGAAAGATCACCTCTCTCCCACCTAAGCCTGATCAGGTGGTTCTAGCAGCCGACAAGGAGCTACGGGGCGCTCTGGTACCAGGCAGAGTGCACAACAGGACCAGACCAGGAAACGCTACCGACCTTTCATGCAAGTACCAGCAAGCAACAGGCTGCTCTGGCAGGATCTGAGGTTAGCAAGAAGAGATGCAACTTTCAAAAAGGAAAAAAAAAAAAAAAAAAAAAAAAAAAAAAATGCAGCGTCAAACCTTCCTGCACTGACACAAGCCAGCACAACACATCTGTTTTCTCATGAAAGCAGGAAGAGCAAGACACATATTTGGGTGGTACAGCAGTAGATGGCTGTGGTGAGAGCAAGTAAACTGATAAAAAGCAGAAGTGATGCAACAGGAACAGACACAGAAACCTAGGTCTGCAGCTAAGACGTTGCACTACTGAGGAGCTGAGGTTAAGACCACTGCAGGCTGCTCTCACTGAGAGCTGAAACAATTCTCAGGCAGGAATAAAATAGCTGAAAACAACCATGATCACAGGACAGAACTAATCCCATCAAAATCACGGTGCTACAGGCAGGACACACATTTAGTGACTTCAGTAACCATTGCTCACTGACTCCCCAGGCAGCTTGTGAGCTCAAACAGCCATTTCAGTCCACCTTCACGTGCTGCACTAAATATAAACTCTGCTGATAACTGTCTGGGAACTGTTTCAGCAGAGACATGGTGCACCAAACAACTCAAGGCCCTCCTCAAAGACCACAGGTGGTCAACTGCATGACAAGCCAAGAGAAGGTGACAGAACCAAAAAGTGTCTGCTACAGAAATGCTGTGGTGGGGAAATTTCAGCCTAAGGTCAGTACTTTCCCAGACCCAGACTTCACTGAATCATCTGCATATGCAAAAATACCCCTTTAAAGTAGGAACATGAGGGCACCTGGGTTTTGACAACCACTTCTCCAAGTAGAGGTTATGGCTCCCTTGTCATGTGCTACTCTGCTCTACAATGAGCTGCAACACCACAAAGTGGAAACAATCATCTTTGATTCTAAAAGCTACTTAGATTAGGTTGCAGGTCTTCCAGGCACATATCCTTCACCCCAGTGGCCCCCTTAAGGAAACATACCTTCCTACATTCGGACAGTAGTCTCTTCTCTAGTGGTCCATAAAACTCATTTATGTAACAAGACAAGCCAGTTTAAGAGCACAGATAAAACTCTACACAAGAAAAAAAAAAACTTCTCCAAGTTTTGCTCACAGAATCACTACCAGAAACAACATGCAATTTATAAAAAAAAGTATTATCAGTAAAACTGCCAGTGTCACAACTGGCCAGCAGATTACAATACCAGAAAGAACTATTCTCTCTACACAGAAATATAATCCCAAAAAAGTGTGGCACAAAAAGAAAAGGAGGCAGACTTGCAAAATTTATGACAGACACCTGAAGAGAAGGCAGTGGATGAAATCCACGATAAACTGCAGACACAAAAGCACTGATCCTTAGAACACGGGCATTCAATATGCAAATTCTTCTGCTTAGGCGTTTTGCCTCCCTTTGATGTATACAGACAAGTTCTAACTAGACAAGCAGACTGAGGAGAGTCCCCTTTCCCCATTATCTCAAGTTTTTTTTTTCTAAGCAACAGTTCTCTGAAAATAACTATATTGCTTCAGAGGGAAAAAATACAAAAGATAAATATAAAAATTATCATTAAAGGAGAGAGGCAGCATATCTTCCCAGCTCTGACATAGGATGCAAGCAGCAAGCCGGTGCCTGATATCTATACTGCAGCCTAGGAGAAGAGAAAGACAAGCTGAACAACAAACAGAGTAAAAATGTTCTGGAAAAGATCCAGATGTCTTGAGTTTAGTCCTACTGCATGAAAAATTAAAGAGGTTAAATCCTCCTCTTAAGAACTTTTCTTCCCATTGTTCTGACTTCGACTCTCCTGAACAAGCTGCATTGCTCCAGAAACCTCAGGAATTACGGTGACAATAGACTCCTGCCAAGAGAAGCACCATTACATAATAGCATTTATGGGCACACACACAAAAAGCCACTAGGAAGCGCAACCAGGCAAGTGCAAAACCCTCTCTGCCCATCAGCTCAGTTTAGCTCTCAACCGTTCCAAAAAAGACTTCAGGATATTTTTAATTTATACGTTTGCTTCTCTCTCACCTCCTTCCACCCAACAAAATCGGTGTTACTGGAACTACGCTGAGAGCAAATCCATTCCCAACAATAACATAACCCCCTTGGGAATAAGCCCACTTGAAACCACTGTATTTGCATTAATCTGTTTAAAAGAACACTAGAAAGATGAAAAAAAAAAAAAAGTATCACTGTTTGCATTAATGTATTAGAAAGAAGAACTATTTACGATGGTATTTTTTTATCTTTCATCTTTTACTCCATTTTAGGGATACTTACAACAGTTACTGCTTTTTAGTCCTCGAGAGCCCAGCGTGGCTATCGAGTTCCAGGTGCTCCCGGGGATTTACGATCGGTTTGTTAAGCACAGGGACAGGCTCAGCCTCAGCACTGCACACGAGTAAAGGCAGCTGCTGGGGAAGCCCTGACCTCCACGCACTGTTAAGGCACCAGAAATAAGAAAGCAAAGATGAAGCCCTGACGGACACAAAGTTTCTCACACGAAATCTCCTGCAGCAGTGCCTTCACCAACACCTTCACCTCGGACACCGCGCTCCCCCCCCGTGTGTCTCCCCACGCCCACCAGCTCTACGCCAGAGGGAAACCGGAGGAGAGAAACGAACACTTCTCGGCTGTTACTCTCGGGGTTTTTAAATCCCAGAGGCTCAGCGCACACCAAGAAGGATCCACAAGCCTGAACACGCACTTCGCAGACCTCGGAGAAAGCCGAACTCCGCCGTGACACCGCCCGCCCGCTGCCGTGACGCGAGGGACACGCAGGTACCACAGGTGACGTTACGTAACGGGCCCGGCCGGGAAGCCCCGCGCCGACCCCCCCCGGCCTGGGAAGGGGCTCCCGCC